TAAAACTATCTTGTACACGATTATCTCCCATGGTTTACAACCTCACCTCTGTCCTTGATAAAAGATAGAGCTCAGCTCTATGCTTCCCTAAAGGTCACTTTTTATTCTCTTGTGAAGGGTTAGAGAAGGTAGAAGTGAGCCGTCCGCAGAAATAAAAATAAAAGACAAAGACAACGGAAGGAAACAACAGGTTAACAGTAAAAGTGGCGAAGAAGACAAGAAAGAGTTAATAGAAGGAGAGGGGGAAGGGAAGGGAGAGGTATGCTTGGCTGAAGGAGAGTGGGAGGAGTCAGAAGTGACAGTTGGGGAGGAGTACAAGGATGAAGAAGGGGTTGCATGGTTCAGTTCGGTGGTGAAAGCTTATGAAGAAAGGAAAAAAGAGGAAAGAAGGAGAGCATTCGAGAAAGTTAGCTTTCAAGGGCTAGTGAGAGACTTTCCGAATCTAAAAGTAGGCGGTTTACTGCCTAATCCTCCTGATCCTCAAGGGATACCTCACCGAATAACTGTCAGGGAGTGGGACGTGATTGTGGCCCCAAGGGAGGTTGAGGTAATAAGAGCTAGGGAGAGCGCCACAGCATCTCTGCCTGAAGATCCAGATGCAGGAGGATGGATCCGTCATCGATGCTGTGGGGCAATCTGCGCGGTGAAGAGTCTCCCGAGTCCTTGGATGGCGCCCAAGGAGCCACATGGAGGGCCACCCCACTGAGTCAATGGGACGTTAACCACAGTTTGAACATTAATGTTAACGGCCAGTTGCCGGGGTTGGAACCGTTGTTGTCATTTGAAGAAGTGCAGGTGGAAGTCAAAGAAAGTAAAAGTTCTGATGTTAAATGCAAAAAGACGCATCCGTTATCATTTTGTGCCGCCATGGAGGGGTTGCCTGAGGGAAATAACGAACCTTTTCACATCTCTATTTACATCTAATTCAATGCAATATCTTTTTTTAAAAAATTCCACAGCCATTTTCAAGCAGGAGTGCTATTACATATTTGCTGTTATAGTTATTCCCAGCTGAAAATTCAGGTAAGGCAAAGAATTAAGTGTGAGATCTTTAACACAATCTAACAAATGCTCTTCTAGATGAAATCCACAATTTAATCTTGTTGCTAGCCTAAACATACTTCAAATGCGCACATAATAATTTCTTGGTCAAGACAGTTGCTGGTTAGTGTGAGGATGGCAGTGAGAGTGAGACCCTACCCACCTGAGAACTGTCTGTCCCACTTACAAGGGAAGACAGAACCTTAGAAAAAGAATGACCTGGTAAGAAAAAGGAGAGAAGCTAGAGATGGAGAGAAAAGAAGAAGGATCTTAGAGGAAGGGGATGTAACTAAAATAACAGAACAGGTAGAACAAGTAGAAGTAAATGGAGAAGAGGTTGGTGGAGAAAAGGGGCAGGAAAAGAGGGAGGAGGATAAAAGGGGTGAGAGGAAAGCAGAGGAAATGATGTTACCCTCAGGATGGGAATTGATATGGACGGAAAACCCTTGGATGAGTAAGTGGGAAAGATTCATGGTTCCACGTGAGGAGGCAGAAAGAAGGAGAGGAACAAAAGTGGTGAAACCTTCTTTCTGGAGAGAGAAAGAGACCAGGGAGTGGGGGATGCAAGATAAGAGAAAAGAGAGCTAAAATAGAGAGGGAAAAGAGAGGAACAAGCAAGATGGAAAACGGACATATGGGAAGGAGAACCCCTCAAGCCTGGACCCTGGGAGACCCCAATATCAAGAGAGAGACTACCGGGACCATTCAACCTCCACCAGATGGGAGATGCCTGAGATGTTATTATTCCCTGAATCCTCTGAGGAGGCAGAGAGAAGGGCATGGACAAATGTTTACAGACTTTGAGTTAAACGTTTCAGTTACAGTTCAAGATAATAATCTTTTTCAGTTCCTTGTTGGGTACTGAAGAGTATGTTGGATGTTAAAGTGAATGCTGCTAGCTTTTTTGGATGTTCCAGAAATAAATGTTAATGTTTTGAATGCAAAGGACATGCGTGCGATAACTGATCTGTACAGGGAGGAGAAGCTTGGACCAACTAGTGAACCCTCACAGTTAGCAACTATGTCAAAGTTCTTTCTGAAATTTAAGATTAGTTTTATCACCATCTCATTAACTTTCTGATTTCTGAGGATATAATGAATTGGTGATAATCATCAGATACAGCTCAGCATTAAGAGACAACATTATGTCCAGGAAATTTCAGAAATATGTATTGATAAGAACCTACCGGATGCAACAAATCAGAGCGCAGGGCCAGCTGTTTAATATCGATCCTCAAATGCAGGGCTGCCCATACCTTTACAAAAAGTGAAGCAACTGTTTCAGGCTGGAGAGCAGGGAGTGGTCCTTCTCAACAGTCTCTCTTTGACAGAGGGTACAGTCCATACAGCCTATCCTTGGATTCTTAAACTTTGTTGCTGGTGCAGTGGAAGATATGATTCCATCACCAATGTTGAAGTAAGGTATAACTACCCCTCGAATTAGCTTTCAATTACTCAGACTTAACTTGTGGCTTGAACCCAACCACCCCTTCCATTTTTCTAGGAGGAAAAGCTTGTTTTTAAAAGGGACTTAGAACTGGAACTTGAGACTTTGTACCAAAGACTTAGATTCTGACTTGGTACTTGGTACCAAAGACTTGGACTCTGAATTGGGACTCAGACCCAAAGACTTGCCAACATCCCTGCCAGTTAGCTTCTGCAAATGGATCAGGCAAGGAATGACATCTTGTCCTCTAGCTCAGGCAGCAAAACATCTGGGGCCAGGTTTGTACAAATAGAAGGCATCTTAATGCTAGTGATGGACAAGCAGAATGATGGAGAGCCTGTGGTGATTTCAGTGTGAGTGTGGTATATCTGATTTATAATGTGGCTATGTTGAGGTTTGTATGGATTTATGCAGGTTGGTACTGCATACATGGAAAGGATGCTGGAAAGATTGACAGATGGGTGTTGGAATGCTTGTGTAGAGGGCTAGGGGCTTATTGGTTGGTGAGAATGAATATGGATGAGATACAAGAAAAGTGGCAGTTGATTTTGTCAGTTGGTTGGAGAGTCTCTAGAGAGGCATGTGTTTTTGTTTGTTTGTTTTTTGTGTCATAACAAGTGGTCTGCTCAGTGAGGTCTGTGTGCAAATGTGGTTCTGTTATTATATCCAGAAACTTAACTTCCCTTTTCTCTACCTTCTTATTATTTCAAAATAAATCCCTTCTGTTTTGACCAAAATGAACTCTGCTCATTATGCTCCTTTTAATTAGTTCTAATAAGATTCATAGCAGTCAATCAAGGCATTACTCTCAAGTGCTGGTAGGCTACACTGGAGACTTAAGCAGTAGTCTCATCAAGGTGGTTAAGTACAGAATAAACCAATGGTCAGGTCCTTTACGGCATTTTAAATAAAACCTGCAGGGTCAAGCTGAAACTGGCTGGAAGGCTCAATTAACAGAGGTGAGCCTAAATACTCTGAAGGTATTGGAGGTGTTTTTTTTCTGGTAAAGTACCAGAAAAGGTGTCACAAGTCAATAGGTTGTATGGTGGTTGATAGACTGGAAGTGTTAATCTCACTGAGGTTTTGTAGTAAGCTAGGGATGTGTCTGTGGTTTGTCACTGAGTCCCTATGCATGATCCAACTACCACAAAAACTATCACTTCCAATGCTGGCAGTATCTTTGCTGTGAGCTGTTTCTGCATACTAGTTCAACACATAGATCAGTAAATTTCTTTGTACCATCACAGGTCATATACATGAACACAGAAACACAGAAATGTACACAAGTTTAGACAATTTTTTTTGAGAAAATCATCTGCTATTGCTGACAATCCAAACACATGAAAGCCTTACTCTGTGTAGTCCTCAACATAGGAAAGGTTATAATAGCTAGTCTCTACCTGGAAGCTGTTTCAAGTACACCACCTTCAAAGACTGAGAGACAGACTAGAAAAAGATCAAGGCATGCCCTGTAACATTCTCTGTCTAGATAGAAATAATAGATGTTCTTGTACATCCAGCAAACAGAAAACAGAGCTTATAGGACAGACCCAAATAGCTGTGGTTTTGCATATATTTCATTCATGCTGTGCATTGACATTTTAATTTTAGCTTAAGCATTTTGATTTTTCATCTTCTTCCAGGAATGTACCTCACTGAGGAATGAAAGCACTTCAACAATCAAGTAAAAAGATTAGGTGATTAGAGGACATTAAAAATCTACTTACCAATAAAATGAGAATGCCCAAGAAAATATGACTCCTGAATAGTCCTAAAGCACATGTATTTCCCAACCAGGGATGCCAAAATCAGTGTGCAAAATATTGGACAAAACATTAAGCGGAATGTGCATTCTATGTGTAGTTCATATTTGCTTCCGTAAAAATCCTTTCTACGAATTATGTCCCAATGCTCAAAATCCAATGATAAGTTTCTATAGGACCTCCTGCCTGTGACAGAATTGTTGGCTCCTTCCTGTGTCCTCCCCAACCCGCTGATGCACGTTAGAAGCTTGCTCAAGAGGAAACTCCCTGGAAGGTTTTTTGTGGAACTACAGTAGGCTACAGCAAGAGGTGGGAAAAAAAGTGAAATTTCCATTCCACTGGTGCCGGCACACAGCTGAATCTTGGAATGGAAACAACAAAGTAATAAATTGCATATTACTAAATGCAGCTGAATTTATCTTTTAAAGATAACTGTTATGATATTCTAACTATGACATTCATTTATATAATGAAAGTTGTATTTTTAATGCTAAAAACTATTGTAGGTTTCTTCTTCAAAGCCCATTAAATATCCTTCTACTGCTAAATATTTATTTTACACCTACGTACAACATTTCTCTAATAATGTACAACACACATTGCAAGGGCACACATTATATTCATCATTCCCAAATTGATTTTTTCAGTTAAGCAATAATGAAGTATAAGCAGATACAAGAAGACAGCCTTACTGTATATTGGGGGTGTTTTGACATCAGATGGCTTAGATATATCAGATGGCAAATTACCTTTGATAAGTCCCCAGCCTCCAAGTAGAAGCAGATAACAAATACGTTCCATGTAACCCAAAGGACTAACCAGACGGCGTACTGTAGAAAAAGAAAAGCAGAATAATGCATTAATAATTCTGATATCAGCTGGGTTTAAATAAAGCTTAAACTGAAAATCTTAAGCAGACGCCAACCAGCTATTGTCAATACACTGAGACTATGCTTACAGAAGAAACAGGACAAAAATCTTTTATCATTCCACTAGATAAAAACTATTTACAGGCATTGGTTTCAGAATTTTTGCAGAATTATTATAATGCTTTGTTAAAAAGAAAGGCAAGATCTGTCCGAGGATCCAATAAACATTGCAGATGTATTTCTTTGGATCATATTTTAATATGAACCCAGCTAATTTGTATTTTCCAAATCACTCTGTGAACCAAAACACTGTATCTATTATTTTGATTTCTATACAGTTTATGATAAAAATTCTTCAAGAAAAAAATAGTACAGGGACATTTAGATATCAGGGAGCAGCTTATGCAAAATGGAAAATGAGAAATCAGTTTTTCCCCATCCTTTGTGTTCAGGATAATACTGAGGATCTAAGCAGTTGTGTTAAAAATATCTATATCTCAAGTTTTTATAAATGTAGAAAAAATCCAGAAATCCAGATGTCTCATGAAGTTGCAGAAATTAGGTCCATAAAGTGTTCCCAATAATTTGAGGAGGACAGAGGGAAAGGCTGTCTTTCTTTACTTCTTTATTATATTTATATTATATAATTAAGTTATACATTAAATGATCATTTATGTTGGCTCTATTGAATCAGCTCAATGCTCTGTGTTCCATGTGGCTTCTCCTGTACAAATATGTTAATATCTGTATTTATGGCACACTTTTCTATGTATGTTGTGATTTATTGCTTAAAAACAGTCAGGTGTTGAGTACACACATACACAAATGAACCCATAACCACATATTTCTATAAGAAATGAAGACAAATAACTTTATGCTAATATCCCTCATTTTCACGATAATAAATTTGATTACACAGGACCATTATATCACTTCTGCAGAAAACTTGTTTCCGAGCTACTATAAACACAGCCATACAGGTATGCTTCCTCATTTTCTTGTTTAAGAAGCCTTTGTTCCTGTATGCATGTTAAATGTTAACCCTATTCTGTGCTATTATATTCTATTTTGTTAATTTTCCCACAAGTTATTGTGAAATTCTTTTTCCTCAGTTGGCAGCTCTTATTCCTAAGATTATTAGTGAAGTTCTGGACACACTGATACAATCTTCTTCTACTTTAATGTATACCTCATGTAAACACAAAAGATCAGTTCTGCTCTCTGTTTCCCAAAAAAGAGAGAGGGGAAAACCTCAATCACCCAAGACTAAGCCCATTAAGCACAAGACTTTCTTCCCCCCAATACAGATCAACTGTACTCGACTAGTAAAGATTAAAAATGTTGATAAGACTATATTACAAGTCTGTTATTTGTACATGTTGAATTAGTGCAATACACTGTGGCGAATTACACTATATAAATCTTGCACGCATAAATCACCAGCAGGATGCTGCCCACAATTTATTATCAAACACTTCTTGTTTCATTTGAACTCAAAAAGCATGGCTAATATATGATGTAGTTAAAACAAGTTAAGTTAATACCATGGGTTATATATCTGGCTAGTTGCAAATAATCATAGTTAAGATCAACCATAGTTTGGAAGTACTGTGTTTCCCCAAAACTAAGATAGAGTCTTATATTAATTTTTGGTCCAAAAACACATTAGGGCTTATTTTCAGGGGATGTTTTATTTTTATTTTTTCATGAACAACAATCTACATTTATTCAAATACAGTCATGCATCTTCTTCTGGTTGGTGCACAATGGTGGAGGGTGGGGTTTCACTTAACTGGGGTTTATTTTTGGAGTAGGGCTTATATTACGAGCATCCTGAAAAATCATACTAGGGCTTATTTTCAGGTTAGGTCTTATTTTTGGGGAAACAGGGTGACACTGAACTACTATGAAGAAAGACTGCCTTTTTATACTTTCTCTAACAGTAAGTATAATTTCCCACAAAACTTTTCCTTTGGGCCTTCCTATTGTATTTTTACTCCTACATAAAGAAAACAAACAGATTATATGCTTAAGTATTGCTGGAAATGAGTATTATTTAAGAAATACAAATTTAATTTATTTCAGTGGATCTACTCTAATTGAGATTAAAACTGGATTTCACCAAGAGGGTTTCTTTTCTTACATTATCTTCCACTGTAAAATAGGCAATACACTGGCTTAGCTCTCTGTCTCCAGGATCATCTAATGAATTCATTATTCAGTTAACATTTGAATCAAAGCCTTCTTCTTTCAGAGCCACCCACATGTGTTAGCAAGCTACATTATACAAGCTGCAATTTATAGACTTGTATTTTGTGACTAGAGCTATGGAAAGGTTCCTTAATCTGGTTCAGGATCCAGTTCCATGACTCAGATTCAGATCTGCTTGGTTAGGTTTAGATGCAAATAAAAATTCAGAAATCCAATCCTTCACATCTCCAATTTGCACTGGGAAATTAAAACACTAAAAACTTTTTTGTATTTCCATTCATATTTAGGAAATGTAAAGAGGGGCGGTCTCCCATTCAGAGGGAATTACTCCTGCTAGATTGCAGAAAATAGGTCCAGAGTTTCTTGGTATTTTAAATCATTCTTTAAAAATCACTATAACTTAAACCAGGGGTCTCAAACATGCAGCCCAGGGGCCATTTGCGGCCCCCTAGATGATAGTTTGTGGCCCTCGCCTTGCCTGCCCCCCCAAAGCGCCCACACATCCTCTGCTGTCAAGAGTAAAAAAAAAGCCTTGCCTCACTCGCCGGCTCTCTCCCAAGAGAGCACCTCTTGCACCCTCCATCCGGAACTGCAGCCTGCCAGCCACCCCACCTGTCTGTCGGCTAAGGAAACTCCCGGGTGGCTTCCTCGGGCTCTTGCTCCGCTTGGCGGAAAATCTGATGCGGCCCAGCCTCACCCAGACTCAGCCTCTAGCGGCCCCCAGGTAAATTGAGTTTAAAACCCCTGACTTAAACAAACAAACAAACAAACAAACAAACAAACAAAAAACCCAACAACCACATAAGTATACAGAAGCTGGAGGGCACTATAGCCCCCTTCTGGCAAGTTTTATTCAGTGGATCTTGTGGTATCTACCTTTAAAATTTGATTTAATATGATAATCTAGGTATAGTAAATACAACACTCCCTGCTAAAAGCAGAGCAAAATTATTTCAAAAACTGACCGGAGAGTGCTAATGAGATTTTTGCCCAAATTGTAAAATAAAAGCAAGAGATAGGTGGGGAAGGATATCATTACCTAACATGTTAAGATTTATACACAATAAACACAGAAGAACAGTAACAAGGCTAGAAATGAACAAGAAAGTAAGGGGAAATAATCAATTTTATATATATAACAGTCCTGCCCCTCCAGTACTGCTGTCTTGACACAATCAACAGGGAGTTCAAAAAAAGGAGGTTCCTGCTCACAGGAGCACTCTTCACACAAGCAAGATTTTCCAAGATTCCTTGCTTGCATTTAAAACCTACATGTCAGTTGGAATCTCTGTTCCTCAGACTCCTCACTGATTACATGAAGAAAGAGACAGCAGAAAGGTTCAGGGATAGAAAACTGGATTCAATAAAAGCTGAATAATGCTAGAAATTCAAAGTGATGAAAATGGGCACATCTGACTTCTGGATTACAGCGTTTAAATGCCTCTTCAACTTCATGCTCTGGAAACTCAACAGTGAAGGTCCATAGCAAGACAATGAACAATACTAATATTTCCTATCTCTAATTAGAGCTACATTTTATGAGAAATCTTCAAAGTCTTAGCTCCCCCCCTCCTTTTCTAGAGAACTACATTATCTGACAGCAACCATCACGTAGATTACAACAGCCACAAATCGATAAGGTCTTTGTGACAACAGGGAATTTTTGTTGCCAATTCCAGTCCAAAGAACCATCGTGTACTTTTTAGTGTCACAAAGAAGTCGTAAATTTGGCAGATTCTGGGAGAGGAGGGCAAGGTCTATGCATCTCTTTTAATCCTGCAGTCACTCCAGATCCAATTCAGATGTGGCCAGATCTACACATCAGACAACAAGAAGGATTAAAAGGGACATTACGAGCCCCACCAACCCTTATCAAATTGGGGGGATTCCCTTCTATTCTCTGCTCCAAAAATGAGGATGCAGGTGTTCATAACCAAATGGGATTTATTGAAAGTGGGGGAGTTCAACAACGTTAGCAACGCCAAATGGTCCCAAAATAGTTTCTGGCACTGTCTGGTAGTACAGTCTTTAAGTCTTTCAATTCAGAGTCCTTAACCACTGTAGTCATTGTCACCAGAAGGATTTTCAGTACCAGTGTTGCCCATGGAGCCATCCTGATTGGGCTGTACAAGGAGTTACACAACATGGAGGGCTTATAACACTGGGGGAAAAGCTTACTTGTCTTTGACTCTTGCTTCCTGCCCCCATGTTTCTATTGATTGACCATAACCCTCTTGAAGCTCCTGGCCTGCATTGCTGTCAGTTTCTCGGAAGATTGCTCCTGGGCTCAGATACATCTCTCCCTCCTTTCCTGATCATCTCAATACAACGGCCTTGGGGGCGATGCAGGCTAAGATGCCTCTCTGCTTCCTCTTTGGAGATATATGTGGCTCAGGGTCTTCTGGGATCTCTATATCAAAATGATAGGGCTCTTCCTCAGGGCTCTTCATTGCATCACCCCAGGTTTCCTCTTCTTCCCATGCCTCTTCTTCCACCATCACCTCAGGGAGTTCGCACAGCTTAGTCAACCTTACCCTTATCCTTCTCTTCTCTCCCCTCTACTGCCTCCAATCCCTCTTTTATATCTTTCATGCCTCCTTTTTTTCCATCTAGTGTTTGCTCCTCTGCTCCTGGGCTCTCTTCATTTCTCAGCCTTTTTTTTTACCTGCTCCTTCCTGTGTTTCTAGATGAACTTCCTCCTTCTTGTCACTTCCTTCCTGGGGCCTTCTAGGGTTTGAGGTTCTCCTGGG